GCGAGCTCGCCGTTTTTTTTCCCCGACTCGCAAATAAAGAGAAAGAGAGAAACAGAAGCGTGCCCTGTAAGATCGTACATAACTCCCCTTTGTCGCGCCGTGCCGAACTTAACGTACGACTGCGCTCCTGACAAGAGGAGGACTCGCGAAAGAGAGCACTCCGAAGTACTAAAACAAAAGGGCGTCGTCGCGTGGTGACGGCACAGCGGGGGTAGCGGGGGGTAGCGGAGACGAGGATGAGCGCAGGGGCAGAAAATGATCGGGGCCAACGAAAACGGAAACAAAAGCGACGCGGGGGCGATACGGCAGTATGGCGACGCTTCCGGCTCGCTCACCGCACACAATGCACTCTCTCGTGTTAACTTGTGTGCCCCTCGGTCCCTCCCCGATCCCGCCGTCTCCGCGTTCCTCGTATGTATCACTCACCTCGTCCTCTCAAAGAGGAGCGTCTCTTCATTCCCGCGAAAATTCTGCGACTTCGATATGAGTTTCTCAATATGCTACACAAACTTACATAACTTCAAAGAAATCGTAAATTAGATCCTTACAAAGTAATTTTATTTAAAAGAAAAAGAATCGATATTAGGCAATTAAATGTCTATTATTAAATTCTTAAAAATAATTGACGCTAATAATCTTCGTCAGCATTGATCCGAGCTGTGAAATCATACATACAACACGCCTCTCAGTGACACGAGTCTCTTTACAGTCTTTGACGCCGGCAGGCACTAGACAATATTAATACCAGGCCAACGGGGCTCTTTTGCTGGGCACTGGCAAGGAAACGGAAACGGCTAACGTGCCGAGATGTTTTAAGAAATTAGTCCTCATTGTTGCGTGAGTCGCAAAATGACACAGTCTTACGACTTTGTTCGACTCTCTCGCCGAGAGTGGCGCTATTATAATTACTTGTCACAGTCGGTTCTCTGTTGCGCAACAATACCGAGTTAACGTTCAAAGCTTTCGTCTTTTCGCGACACGTCAAGCGCCATTAGTTGCGGAAATAACTGCGCGTGTCGAAATGCGTAATAAATTAAAACTACGAAAGAGTTTAAATATTGATGCGAATTTAAAGCTTAATTTCATAATCGTAACACGAATAAAATAAAACCAAAATTTATTTAATTAATTTCACGGTTATTAATTTTATATAGCCGTATATTTTTCAAACCGAACGCAAAAATTGTACAAAGCAAAATTCATTGACAATATTCTCGCGTTTTCCCATTTTTCCAACTGATTCGAACATGTGAAAAAAATGACCATGAACGATTCTTGTAGTCAAAGGGAAAAAATAGGGTTAATCTGACGTTTGTTCCTCGACCATAGAAACTGTGTTATAGCGACTGAGTTTTATGGCGACTTGCTCAAGGACAATTTCGTATACAGTAACATGAAAGTGAAAGCGGTAAAATAATGGCAGATGTAGAAAGGCTCTTACCCAAAATTCTTTTGCGTTATATTACTTAACAAACGTTCCGAGAACTATTGAAAGGATGCAACTGGTTATCGCATCGGCCATAAGGATAAGGCCACGACAGCGGCGAGTGTGTGGATACAAAAGCGGGAAAAAAATGAGCTATTTGGTATCCCGGAACAATCGTGTAAAACGCATAAAGCAAACATTTTCACACACGCACAAAAACTCAACGCGCATAAAACACACTGTTCATTTATTATCTCTCGCAAAATATATCCATTTTAATGGACTGCAAATTAACGCGTCTGCATTATACGCGTTATCTCCGATATACCCGCACATTTAAACCGCTGTCACACCTAAAGCGAATATTTATTAAAGTCAAGTCACAGAATTAGACCAACGCGACATTGGAATTTCGCACTAAAAATTGAAATCAGTTTTGTGGTATAATCGACGCTTAATTTTTGATATTACAAGAAAAAATGTGTATCCTATGTCTGTCGTTTGCGTTTCCATTATTGCGAGTAAAGAAAAAATCATTGTAGCAGAGCAATTACAACTAAAATATTTTCTGCATTTTAATATTTGTCAAACTTGTAATGTTGAAAATTTTATATAAAATTACAGTAAATTACTTTGCAAAAATTATTCTAGCAAATATATTTTAGATCACTTCCATATGCATACGTGAATGTATAAATTTGTAAAATTTGCGTTAAGAAATTTTATCACGCGAAAATGGAATATATAACGAAAAAAATGTTCGACATGTATATATATATATATATGTATATATATATATATAGATTTAATGAGAAAGAAACCTGAATGAATTTAAAAATACTACATACTTGTATAATACATGAATTATACATGATCGACATAAGATAAATGGATTGTGATTTAATAAATTCTGGAAAAGTAAACTATTTTAATTTAGAAGATTTTATTAAAATAGTTTTTGAATATAATCTTTATGATTTAAAAGATTCTAGAAGACTGAATCGTACTTTAAAAGATTTTGAACTTTTGAATTTTTCTTTTAAGATAATCTTTAGATAGTAAATAAATATTTAAAAATTTTGAAAAGCATAAAAGCAAAAATGCTGCTACAACAAGAATTAACTAAAAAATTTAATTTGATGCATCAATATTTATATGAATACACATTTCAAAAGTTCATCATTACTGAACAGAAAGACGATAAATTTTTTTAACACACATATACATATGTTTACAATATATAAATAAACAAAATATATATAACAGTTTTAATGAAGAAATATTTTTCACGCGTCTTTAAAACTATCCTACTTAATGGATTAATTCTCGGAGAATGTGGTATTTATAGTGATATTTAGACATGCATTATTAAATTCTTTCATTGGGCGTAATTTGATTTTACCTATAAACGTGATAGTATATTCAACCTATTTGTACTGAGAGACTTTCTCTTCTTCTTCCTCTGTCATATTATCTCTAATTATATGCCATCAATCTCGCTTTGTCACATTATCTTTAACATATATTTAGCTTTGACATATATACACAGAGACTCATGGGAATTAGTTTCAAATTTTTTAATATGTAGAATTTTTTGAAATTCAAATGTCGACGCGAATATTAAACATTTGTACTAAATATATAAAGAAATATATTAGAAATATATTAGAACAACAAAGAAAGAGAATATATGTATATTAGGAAATAATACTCAAAATTCAAACTGGCTTTGTTTATCTGTTGTCAATACAGTAAATTGCATATATAACAAATACATGTGTTTATCAATTTTAATGGAATGGACTATAAGGACTTATTTATAACAAATTATAAGAATTTAATAAACTTTACCATGTTTGTTAATAAACTAAAATTGCTAAAACCAATGTATAAAAATCTTAAAAATAAAAATTGTACAAATGACGAAAATAAGAGAAAATTTCGAAATAAACCATTAAATTAATAAACTTTATATTATGTGAGATACGAAATTAATAATCTAATATTTAGACAGACATTCCAGTCAAGATTTCTTGTAGCATTTTGTGCTTTTGCATTCAAAAAATGAGTGCACATCGAATGATAGTGATCGAAGATTTATTGCGGGACCACCAGCCGAGCTTTTCATTGACTTTTACATAAAGAAAATGCCCAAGTTTTCATTTTTAACTCTTTTCATGCAAATTTGAAAAGTATTGGTAGATACAGCACTTTTTTGATAATTTTTAAAAAATAAATCATTTGATTTTCTAGGTCAATACACGTTTTTGTATTGTATACTACAAGATTTATGTTGATTAACTATGGTTTTACTTTCTAACGTAGATTTATCTCCTGCATTGTGGATGTAAAATCCATTGAGTTCAAGTTTTTTGACCACATTAATCATCCGCTATTTAATCATTTGCTAATTATATTAGTGAAATCGTCAATAAAACTCGTTCAGAAAAAATATACAAGGACAACTTAAAAGAAAATTTAAAAAATATTTTCCTGCAAAATTATTTACCGCTATTTTATATAATCTCTTCAACGCTACTTGATGTAAAAGATAGATTTTATAAGTAACTCTATTTTATGATATTATTTATATAATATAAATTTATATATTATATGATATTAAATAATGAGACAAATTGATTTATAGAATTTAATCTTTAATAACATCTTACAAGAGAATCTACGATCTTGTAAAATATCACGATCTTCATTCATATGATAAATTCGCGTATATGTAATATATTCTCGTATAAAAAATATACAAATCGGCCAATTGAATTTTTTCTCTAATTTTCGCATAGAATATAAACAAAAACAATTTAAACTAAATTTGCAAAGAAGACATAATCCTGTTTGCTTCTAGAAGACTGCCACAAGTATAAAAAATAAAAACTTTTTTCAGTATTTTTAAATTATATACGTTACTTCGAAATATATTTGAAAAGCATACATCGCGCAAATTAAAAAAAAAATATATAACACGCACAGAAGAATTGTCGGTTCACCGCTTGGGCAAGACGCATTAGCCTTGGAGGTCAAGAAACGCGTGCAGCTGTCGGAGTCGGATCGTGGAGATCGCTCGCGAGTGGTGGGGTAGTTCGAACACGTGCGCGTGAGAATTTACGTCGTCACGTAAACGTGGCGTAGGTGGAAAGGTAGTGACGAGGAGAGCATGACGAGGAGAGCAGAACGCGAGAAGGCAGAGATGCCGAGGAAGGGAGACAGGTGAAACGGGGTAGAAGGAGAGACGACGAAGACGGGAGAGAGAAGGGGCGAGAGAATGGAAGAGAGATGGAGCGAGAGAGAAAGGGAGCTCGAGTGGATATGTTAAGGAAGAGCGGAGGCGCCAAGCCACCCTTGGCGAGCCAGGCAGCAGGCAGGCAGCCCCTTTCGCAAAGCACCCCCTAAGCCTGGTTAGGGGCGAAGGCGGCGAGCCGCGGAGGCCACAACACGACCGCCGTCCTCATTGGTCGACGCGCTTGTCCTGGGTGGGGCTCCGGAAAAATTGGAGGGGAGAAAAATCCCCCCTAAATAGCTGCGGCTACAGCCACGAAAAACTAGAATCCGCTCAGCCGGCATCGAGTGCGCGTCAGTCCGATTTATTTTACAATTTCGTGGTACGAAGGTGTAACCGAAACATCAACTCGAATCTGGAGCACAATAAGCTTTCTTCGTTAAGAGAAAGAGAGAGATAGATAAAGTGAGGGGGCACAAGGAGATAACTCGTGTTTACCTGTTTATCGTGCTTATTATTTTTTTTCGCGAATGTGACAGTGAATTATGAAGAGGCCAGTGATCGGTTGTGTTAGCCGCATCGGTGCGCGTGCAGGTTTAAATTCGTGAAAGAATAATCAAACGCATTCTTGTTGGACATTCTGCTAAAATTGGCGAAAGAATGCATTTGCCGGATGGTCCGCTGGCGATGGAAACCTACAAGGCGATCTACGAAACCCTCAGAAGCTGCCATGGGGATTTGGTGCAGACGGGAAGTCCCACCATCCTGTGTTCCACGCTACCGTGCCACTGGAGATCAAACAAGTCTCTTCCGGTAGCGTTCAAGGTCATAGCGCTCGACGAAGTCAGCGACGGCACCCTGGTCACCATTAGAGCGGGGAATGACGAAAACTTTTTCGGCGAACTGAGAAATTGCACGGCCGTCATGAAGAATCAAGTCGCCAAATTTAACGATCTTAGATTCGTCGGTCGCAGTGGAAGAGGTGAGTTTAAGAGCTTGCACAGTCACGTGCGAGTCCTCCGCTTATCCGCTAAACTTTTAGAATCAGATTTCGTTTTCGTTTACAGGAAAATCATTTTCACTGACAATCCAGATCAGCTCGGTACCTCACCAAGTAGCCACGTATTCCAAAGCCATCAAGGTCACGGTAGATGGACCACGCGAACCAAGATCTAAAACGAGTAAGTCGATATATACACGATACGTTCAATTTGATCCTAGTTGCCAGTAAACATACAACGTATAACGAAACGAGAACAAACTCTTATATATACAACAATCTTTCAACGTAAACGGAGCACTCGATAACGAATATTTCGACGAATTTAAATCAAAAGGAAATAAGATTCCCATCTTTCGTCTTTTTTTTTTTAAATACGTGTCAAACAACGGGAAACGAACGATGATGCGCGTTCCCTGCAACGCCAATACACGATACATTAATCGCGTCCGAGTCGGAGAACGAGGGGCGCAAGAAGGGGGCAGGAAGGGGTAAGGGGGGGCAGGGCGGCGGTGTGTTTTCGGGTCGGCGGGCGAAAAGTCGTCGGAAGCTCCGTGACCACCGCGGAATCCGCAAACGGGGCCTCGCGGGCGTTTAATAATCCGGCGTATATCTGGCGGACCTCAAACCGCGAGGTGGTGGCGGTTGGCGCTGAACGGTTGCCGCGAGCCCTCGACGCCCGAGCGTCGGCGGCTCGCACGTGTACGAACGAATGGAGCGAGCGAGCGCGCGCGCACATGCACATGCACATGCACGCCGCCGCGCGTATGCATATATACGAGGAGGTTGGCGCAAGAGCGAGACGACTCCTTGGCATCGTGTCAAATCCGCGTCAACGAGATCCACGCGTCGTACATTGCATTCCTTGGCTCGACATTCGCGTTTGTTTTCCCCGAAACCGGCCGCCGGTTGGTCGCCGCGGCGCATTAAGTCGGACTGTTTATTAGCCGGCAGCCGGTCGAAAAGGAGTCGGAGGGGGACCCGGGACGGAGCGGGCAAGGGGATCGAGATAGACGTCTGCGAAAGAGAAGCCGCGTTTGTTTATCGCACCGCATATGGCGGTAGCATGTGCCGCGCCACGAAAAGCCGCGCACCACGTCGTAATAATGGATTTTATGCCACGCTCGTATAAACAGGAGATACACTAGCTGCTGCTCCTCCGGATCGCCCGGGGAAGCGCCGTTAATCTTCGCTTTTATAGGTCTTGGGTTCCTTCTTTCTGGTGTTTGTCGGTTCGTTAGTCACCGCGTCACCGAGGCTTCGTCTTCTTCTCGCGACAGTGAATCGTGCGTAACGGTTTCACAAGTCGGTTTTTTTTTTTTCACGAATTTACGACACGCATGTATTATGATCGTCATCAATTTGAAAACTCTGCGAGATAAAATTCATTTATCGAAAATAGCCGAGTAAATTCATATAACTAACGCATCATCATTCATTTCACAGATTGTCAATATATCCCCGGATTTCCCGGCTTGGGTGGCTTACTCAATCCCTGGCTAGATACCGCATATCTCGGACACACCTGGCACATGCCGCATCCCGCTCTACTTAAAGGTAAAGTCGCATGAGCGAAGAAAAAAAAAAGAGAAAGAAAAACAAACAGAAACGTCTGCATGTATCGCGAGAAGAAAAGGTCTCGAAAGAGAGGCCGCGCGCTTACGAGAGAATCCGCGTTATCGATTTCGTCGAGTCCGCGACGCCTGCCGATGATTCATACCCCGTGAGCCGGACCGAGGGGTGAGTCTGAGCTCTCTTTTCCCACAGCGAACCCCTCTAACGCTCCCCCTCGCCCCGCTCTCACCACGCGTATGTCCCGTCCGTCGTTGAAACAACAATGCGACTTACACCCTACGTTCACCCCCGCCCGAACGATCGGCCGAGATTAACCGATTCTATATATCTCTGTCTTTCTCTCTCTTCCCCTCTACATCAGGAGCGATGCCAATGCCACCACCCGCGGACCTGTTCAATCCGAGCTTCCCGCCGGTCTTCTCGCCGTATACGTTCGATCCCATCAAATACTCGGAATATGCTGCACTGACGGCTGGTACGACGACGATGACAACTGTATCGACGACAGCAACAACGGCCGGCATTCTGAATAGCCCGTCCAGATCGTCACCCGGTGGTAACACATCCAGCAACGACTCACCGACCGAAGAGGCTCGAAGTGCCTTCGTGCCCCTTCGAATCAACACTCTGCCGCCGAGCACGTCGTCCTCGACGTCGCCGCCGGACAAAAGCGCGAGGAGGTCAACCGAAGGCGTGAGAAACTCGTTGAAGGCACCCAGCTCTCTCATCTCCCAGAGGCTATCGGAGAGGAGGAGTCCATCGCCGACGAAATCATCGACGAAAACAGTCTGGAGACCGTACTCGAAGCCGTAGATCCGGAAGCGGATTCGTGCGACAATGACAATTCAATGTCCCGAAAGGCTAGTGACAGATAATCGCCCTGACGAAGGCGACGTCGTTTCTGATGCGAGCATCAGATTTTTAATAAATGACTTTGCGTATCGTTTTTCCGGGTGTTGACTCGCGCACGCGAGTGCGTATTTTTCTCTTCGGTTTTACGAAGACAAGAAGAACACGGGAGAAAGATGGAAAGTCATTTCGTCGATTTAAGCCTCTAAAGCATTGTTCGTAATTTATGAATAATTTTATTAATAAATTGAAAATTTATAAAATTCCTGACGAATTCTATAAATTTGGACACATGTACATATGTATGAAAACGAATTGTATATATGGTGTATATAGAGTTCGTGGACAATAAAGTAGTTATAAAGAGGCAAATAAGAATTTATCTGCATTCGTGTGTTCATGAAAGTGTACGTGCAAGTATAAATGAGTGAATGAGTGATGAAAAGGAGACAGAGACCAAAAGACAGAGATACCGATATTATTTATATTATAAGAAAGATATTTATCAGAAAGATTTAATGTAAACAGAGATGGTATAAAATATAGAGATGCGACGCAAGAGAAGAATAAAATCGAGATCTATACGTGAAAAATATGTACATGTCTGTCATTTAATCTCACCTCTGTTTTCAGCACCTTTTTCAACTTAAACGTTAAACTCAAACGATCGATTACCATTACATCCCACGTATACGTATAAGAATGATCGATATATCGCGCGCGCGATCTATTCTCAAAAGTGTCAGAAAAAAGTATCGTCGAATAGTTGAAGCGTTGGGAGCAGAAAGGAAGAATATGAAAGAGAGCGGAACGCGCTCCGTGATGCTGCAAGGGGGATCCATATATATATATATTTTTTTTTCGGTCGCGATTTAAATCTGAATGGTCCGTACCGCCGCGCAATCGTCCCGTCTCTCTCCCATCTCTCTCCCGTCTCTCTCGTGCGCGCATAGAGGATCCCATACGGCGAACACAAGGGTGGAGAATGGTTTATATCGAGGGGAGTGCGTGAGATCTGTATTAGTACCTATGGAAGCTCGGGACATCAGCGGTTCTCAAGTACATCGAGAATCAATCCGAGACGAGGCAGTGGCTCTTCGCCGAAACGCCGGCGCGAATATTCCCGGAGATGCAATTGTTTATTTTTTATTTCTTTTTTTCACGAGCAATTATACACGTCTAAATTTTAGGCACGGCGGATAGAGATGAGATCGCGGGCCTCCATGGCGTTCGCTTGATTCAACGAGACGTCGCGTCACGCGAAATGTCTGTCGGGATTGTATCCCTGCCATCAACGCTGAAACATGACCTGGGGTAAGGGATAGTTTTTTTTCTGAATTGTTCCGGTCGTGTTTGTCAACTGGTGCACAGAGCACGAGTGCAGTTAATCTCGGTGACGTCGAATAACTCAATTTTCGCATTCCGGTTGCAGGTGCGACGTATGCGCGCGCTGTCGCCGATATATATATAGATATATGTATATATATATATCTATATATATACATGTATATATATTCTCCGGATCGAGAAAACGCCCCGCGGCAAAAATTCGATACGCGGCACGTAACGTGTTGGCGCGATGTAAAATCTTGATCAGATTGCCTTGATTAAAAATCGCGATCGGATCGCGCGCCCCGAAATGCTCCGAAAACCGGTCACCGAGCGACCGGTCGCACGCACAGCTTTGCACGGGGCGCTTAATAGGATTAGCTCCAGCGAGAAAATGAGAACCGCGTTGACACCCTGCAGCCGTGGGGCTGTTCGTTGACGAGTAGACAACGGAACCAAGCAACCATGAAGGGTCACCGCACGAACCGATCCAAGCCAATCCGACGCGCGAGCCGACTGGCGCTAACTAATGTTTGCTCAAAGAATCGTCATGTATAATTGAGTCAGCCGCCGATGGCACGGGATGAAAAAATCAACGGCAGGGATAGCGGACGTGCGGATATCCGGGACTGAATAATCGACTTTCGGTGTACACAGATCTCCGCTCGCGGATCTCGCGATTTCGGGACAAACCGCTCTTATATTACAGGGGGATCCCTGGCATTTTATTACGCGTCACGATGTCGAGCGGCTGCATTTGACCTCGTAATCTCGCGATTAAGTATAAAGAGGAGCGGAACATTTTTCGAGCTAATCACGTTAATTGTAGCATTATCGGATTTGCATAGAAAATGTATATTAACATGCGAAGGTTCCGCGCGTAATGGTCTATATCTCTCGCGGGCATTATCATAAAAAATTCACGATGGCAGAATTTCATTTCAAAAATATCAAATCACAAATTTGTTCCAATTACCCTGTACAACGAGGTAAATGAAATTATTTTTGCAAACATGGAGATCGGCAAAAAGCCAACGGGGCACCAACAAGACCTCGGGACGAGCAATCAAAGTATAATGCGACGCGGAAGGAGCGGTTGATTTGCGCGAGCGTACTTCGTCGACGCGTTGACAGAGGAGGACGTCGATCCTCTTCGCTAGTCTAGAATCGTGAGGGCCCTGGTTGGAGGGTCCTAGAGTTAGGCAATCAGCGTTGATGAGGGGGTCAGGTCGAGGGGCAAAGGGCTCGGACAATTAGTAACTTCCCCGCTTCCTCCCCTGTGTGTCGCTCGTTCTCTCGTCCCGGTTCACCTGGCCAACAACGCGCCGACCGCAGGCGTTACGCATGCGAAAGAGGCCGTCGCTGTGGATGTGCGGAGGTCGGGACGTTGCGTTTACGTAGGATGCGTGGATCGCGTTGTACGCACAGGATTACGCGCGCTCGTAAAGGTCCCTCTCCCACGATTGCGGAGGTAATGTCAACGCGATCGGTCTACTTCGCGTAAATTCACGCCGTTCACGCCGAGAGAATAAATGAACCCTCGCGAAAAAGTCAAGATATTTTACTCTTGGATAGAGACGAAAAATACCTAAATAATATATTTATATTATATGTAGGTGCAATATTTGAACAACGAATAAATCTCTATTAATAATTTCATGTAAAGTTAATCGATAAGAAGATCCTAGTCTACTTTAGAAAATCAAAGACAATCAATTTTTTTACATTTTGCTGAAAATATTTTCTGATGTTCGAAGAATATCTTTTAAATTTTACATGAGAAATTTATAAAATTAACGGAGTTATACAATTTTAAAATGGCGCGCGGGCATTTAAATGGAGCTGCAAAACTTTAAACGCATCTTTCACAAAACATTGTTTTCAAAATTGATATAATAGTTACCTTGAAAACAAATGGGATATCTTCTAAATATTTTACAAAAGAAAGAAATTAGACCGAATTATTCGTTTCAGATTACTGATGATTAAAAAATTCAGATTATTATGATTAAAAAAATTAAATATCCAAGATCTAAAAATATTGACACATCATTTCAACAAATGTAAAACGTCAGATAAATTTTTCATATTCTTGAAAAAAAAAAATTCTAAAAATTATCAATCTTTCATACTTGGAATAAATTAGAATAACTAGATTCTTAAATTTTTCCTTTTTTTTGCATTTTTCGTAGATGGTGATTGAATTTCTAGATCGCGAGATACACGAGGACGCAATAAAACAGAAATGAACAAAAGGACGCCCGCAACGCGCCATTCAAAGGACCTTAATCATCCCTGCGAATCCTTGACAAACTAATCTATAAAAGAGTCGCCCCCACAGACTCTCTCCCGAGCGGTACACTAATTGTTCTTACGATGAAACGTGTCGAGGATTACACGGCGGCGTCTCGCAGGAATCCGGGGGAAGGGGGAGACCGCGGAAATAATAAGCCTCTTTCGAGAGGCATTCGGCGACGTCAACGAAGACGAGATTTCTCCTTCCCTCGCGCACAGAATCGTCGTGGTCGTCGTCGTCTTCCTCTTCGTCTTCGTCTTCGCGGCAGGCGCCCCGCTCTTCGCATTTAAACGTCTTTTACTCTCGCGACTGCTCGAGGGCGGAGGCAAAGACGGGCCGTCGCGCGACCTTAGAAAAAAACGCTTAACGAGCTGTTTTGCATCGCAATGCCTCGACCTCGTTATCGGTTATCGACCCGTTCCGCGGCCGCCGTCGCGGATTAAAGAGTAACCCGCGCCGCAGTCACGTGTACGCCATCCAGTACGTACTGCGTTCACGCATTCGGCGTTTGTTTCCGTCGAGGCGCGGTCGTTTGACCGTGTCGATTGGCGGCGGACGAGAGTTGTTGAAAAGGCGAATCGTTTCGGCGGAAACCACCGATTTTCAGGCCGCGTTCCGCGCTAAATCGCCGCGAAACGCGGATCGATCTTTCCGCATTTGTTTCCGAGAGGAAACTTGTTTTTCGCTCGCGAAACGAGGTGGAGAGAAGGTGGGGGGACAGGCCGCGCTCTTTTGTTCCTTTGCGTGTTGGATTTTTTATTTTCTCTTTTTTTTTTGTTTGCTCTCTCCAACCGCCTACACGTTTCTTTTTTTATTTCGCTGCTTTTTTCATTAACAATATCGAGAGTACGAGTTTTGAAAAAACCTTAGATCCATCTTACAAGGAACACTATTCAATTGATAATAAAATCACACAGAATTCTTTATACAGATCGAAAGTATATGTCACAGAGGTCAGGAAGATATAAATGAAAAATGTTATCGCTAAGGAAAAAATGTGTAATAAATCATTAATTTAATATCTTTCATTTATTCTATAATTTATTTTTATAAAATAAACAATTTATTTTGAACAGACTGTTCCCCATCATTCTCTTTCACTCACATTTTTTCCTTCCTTCCTTCCATCTTTGTTAACGTCCCAAAGTCAAACCATCTTTAGCATTTTCAATTTGTTGACCACCCAAGATAAGAATGAAAGAATAATAGGCAAGATGAAAGAATGCTTAAAGAACGAAAATATAATAAGGTGCAATTTCATTGACGCTAAAAAATAGCGTCAACCAATGGTTTTTAGCGTCAGTGAAAAGACCGCTATACGGTCGAAACTTTCAAATAGTAATATTTTATGAGAACAATTCAATTTTTTTCTCAGACTTTCATGGGGGGTTTATGACCTCAAGCAGTTTGTGTTGGAAAAATATATGAGTCAAAGGTCGATCGTTTGTTTGGTAAACCGACATTGATAAAAATACAACTCAAAACGGTAGAAAAATAATTTAAGCAATTAAAGTAAGAAGTTGTAAGATTGTCAAGCTTTCTAAATTTTGTTCGGTAACAAGCGCACATGATTTACTCGTGCTTTCTCCCGTTTACAATTTGCCGGCATTTTCAATCGGAAAGTCACTTTTGCGCATTCAGAGTCAAGTTACGCGATTCGAATATGAATCTCACGATTTTAACCACGTTACTGACGTTAACCACGCTGACCCGAAAATCCACGAAATCGGTTCTCCGATCAAATTCCTAAGCTAAGTTCGAAGCGTTTGGGCCGGACCCTCGATTTCTTTTTGCGAGGGTCCATCCAGCTTCCATCCAGCGACAGAACGGAACTCATCAGTCCGGGAGGAAGTGGACACGTCGGAACAATTTCCTTACACCGTCTCTCCTTCCATCGTCCTCGTACAACCCAACACCACCCCCTTGAACCGGCAGCCTCGTTTCTACCTCGTCATCGCAGCCGCTACTGAAATTCTGACCCC